AGAATTTCGGGGACCTCAGTACGAGTGCTCTAAAAATGTGAGCTATAAACTTCTCTACTGGCGTCACGTCGGATACATATCTACGAGAGATAGTTTTACAGGTGCCCGGGAGCATCATGAAGAAGTGTGGCTTCTTCCGGTAGGCATACAATTTGACAGATTCCACTGTCCATAATAATTAGGGTTGGATGATATCCCAAAAGAATGACGTAACTCGTAACATACGCCGTGTGCATTTTGAAATTAATATTATCATACTTTTAGTTGTAATTTTAATAGTTTTTTCCATTTTTTAGCAATCTTGATACTCATTGTTAAGTGAATTGTATATCTTATTTTTTGTACTGCTATGAAGTGTTTTTTTGGTTTTCAAGTATCAAATATCTTGCTATGACAGTTTTATTACAAACAACATTACTGCAGGGGTCAAAATGATCATTTATCCAAGCAGCTGTTTTTCCAACAACACAAATCAAACAACCAACCAATTTATCCGAATCAGCAGCTTACTTGGATCAACTGCTTATCAACAAATAACAACTTATTAATAAGCTGCAATTGCCCCAAACAAACCCTTACAGGCGGCATATAAATTGACCGTTACTTGTAGTCAAAAGAGACGGGAATGATTAGGTGTGTAAATGGGCCAAATTCATTTGTTTGAATTAAACTCGTGTTTTTGATAAAAAAAATTATTATTTTAAATAAATATATTAAATAATATCACATTATATTCGCTGCATGTTATAACAATTCAGTTTGCTTTTTAAGTGCTTTTTGCAACAAGAAGTCGAGTATGGATCCTTTGTGGGAAACGAGCAAACCAAAACATGCGATGCGATTCTATGTGGATACAAGTGGCTTTTAGATACTTACCACCCAATTCTTCTAAATGCAAACAGACTGGACATACGGGGCGGTGGAAATTTTCCTTGTGCATTTACATATAATCATACATACCACATAATTCACATTTATTTACATATCTAACACCTAAATTTATATCTTTTATAATTATAACACCCAAATAAATTTTAAAATAATAAAATTGAGCCTTTTATAAATAAAATTAAAAAGATATAAAAAAATTGTTTATTTAATTATTTAATTTTGTCAAACCAATTGTTGAACACAAACAAATAATCATTGTTTATGTTCTGCTAGTTTATAAATAAAATTCGAAAAAAATTATTCGTATTCGACTCGTTTGCTTAACGAATAAATAAAAAACGAACTACTTAATGAACCATACATAAGTTATTCACGAACATTAAACTTTTTTGATTGCCCTATTAATGGTGAGAGGCTCAATTGTGGAAGAAATGGCAATGGTAACAAAGAGAAAGGCCAAGCTTCAACCCTACTTGAATCAAGTTTTTGGGAGCACAAGAAGTCGATAAGGTCACAAAATGCTCTTTGGATTTAGTACACTGTTAGTGGAGTTTTGCTGTGGGGAAGAACATTACAAATGATTTAGAGGCTGTATGTTAACATGTTAGATTTAAGTTAGTAGGATTTAGTAAATGATATTGATCCGGATTTACTAAATTTTTAAATGTTTAAAGTCAAAAATTTATTTGACGCCGGATTTAATAGATCCTGCTAAACTCTGCCAAATAGTTAGATAATTTTTGCTAGGTTTTAAAAATTTGTTATATTCATTAGAATAAACAATTATAATTTAATTTTGATTATTTTATTTTATTAAATTTAACTTAATTTTTTTTCTAATTATGCTAATAAATAATTAACTATTCACAAAATAAATTAAATAAGAATTCAAATTTTAGTGAATTAATTACTAACCAAATAACAATTTAACATTAATTAATTCTTAATTAACTAGTTATTAATTATATAAATTAAGTATTACTTAGAACTTTATTGAATAATTTAAAATTAAAAATATATTTATAGTCATCAATTAACTATTAAATAATTAATGTATATTTGATAAACTAAATCAATAAAATTTACATAAATAAAAAATAAAATAAAACCGCAAACTATCTCCTCATTTCCCCTCGGCCCTCCCTTCCCCTCTTTGTGCAAAACCCTAATGTCCTTCCCCCTCTTGGTTTCGCCCAATATCGAGCCCTCACGGTACAGTCGCGATTAGAGCTAACTGGAAGGCAACGACGGGATCACAACGTGCAAAGACCCGAAAGTCCCATCCTTCTTCTCCTTCCGACTCTGATCTTACTCGAAATCGTGGAGGAAGGTACTTCACATCTTTCATCTCCCGGGAAACGCCTGCCCCGACGTTATATTGGCAGCGCAAAGTTAATCCGACGATGTTTGGCTGCAGCGCCGGATTACGCTAAATAGGATTTATCAAATTCGATAAATCTGGGGAGTCATGAGGGGAACCAAGGTAGGTCTGTAAATTCATTAAATTTCTCTCTATCTCTCCCTTGGATTTATTAAGGGTCGGTTTGGGGTAACTGCAGCTTATTGACAATCTGCTGATCAACAGCTAATCTAAATGAGCTGTTGATCAACAGTTGATTCAGATAAGATGATTGACTATTTGGTTTGTGCTATTAAAAAACAATTGATTTGCAGTTGATTGTGGATAAATGATCATTCTGCCTATGTATAATAATGTGGTTTGTAACAAAACTGTCATACAAATATATTTGATACTATAGAAGCAAAAAATCACTTCAGAATATTAGAAAAAATAAGATAGATACATCACATAACAGTGAGTATCAAGAAAAAAAATTAAAATTATTTTTAAAAATATAATAATATTAATTTTAAAATCCAGACGACGTATGTCCTGAGCTATGTCATCCTCCAGGGATGTCATACAACCCTGATCCCTATTGGCAGTGGAATCTGCCGGATTGTCTGCCCACCGCGGGCACCTGTAGAAATTTCTCTCATAGCTATGTGCCCGAGCAGGTCAACATACATAACCAACACCGAACTGATGACAACATTAGAGAGAGACACACACACTCGAGTCCAATCACCATCACCAACACCCAACCACCAACAACAGTGAATTTGACAATTTATTTGAGTTTCATAAAAAAAATCTGTTTTATATTGCTAGCATTAACCCTTTGACCTAGTTGTATTGCCTTTCGAATGAACAAAAAAAAAAAGAATTTTAAAGCAATTGGTGCCACTATAATAATTCTACACCCACGATAACTCTGAAGAAAAAAAAAAGAAAGTATAAATTCCACTAGTCCAGCCAAAATAGAAAGTCACAACCTAATCACGAGCAGATCACCTAAATTCTAGCAGAAATCAACAATTACATGCCACTTTTATTTCATATGATACATGAAGGTTCTTCATGAGAATAATTAAAAGAAGTCCAACACCCAAGTCCAACCAAAGGCAACAGTTGAGATAGTATGATATTACTCACAGCAAAACGGAGACAACCAAAAAATCACAGAAAAAAACAATTTCTTCGAAATTCTCCACAAAGAACATGATACTCACAGAAAACCCATTCCATAAAAAATCACCACAACAAAGGCAAAAATATTACTTATAGAGCACCATAACCACGGATTGCTGAGAGGAAGAGGTGGAGAAAGACAACAATCGAGAGAGACACGTCAGAGAGAGGTGCGTGAGAGGGACAACCGGGGAGCTATCAAAGCCACAAGATTAGAGCAGAGGAGATCATCGAAGAGGCATCTAGGGCACGGGATGAGGGCAAATGCTACGAGAGCAGAGAGGTAAGAAAATAACTTCAAACGCGGGCCGCGGGGTCGAATCTACAACTCGCGTTTATGAGAAAGTCATACCCACGTGTCGCGAAACACACCGAAAACAGACAAGACAAACAGGAAGACGACGTTTTGGAAACGCAAACGCAGCCGATATGCTGCGCCAAACAAGCCCTAAATCCGGACTTACCTCTTTAAGAGATAGAGCAATTGTAGAAGAAGACAGAACGAGAAGAAATTCGATTTGATTGAACATTGGAGTTGGTTGTTATTTTTCTGGTGTTTGGTTGAATTCAGGTTAAATTCATTACTAAATCATATTAAAAGTATGTTATCAAACACACCCCTGCCCTCAGGTAGAATTTAGTAAATCCCAGATTTACAGACTCAGGAGCTATTTAGTTGCAAGTAGGATTTAATTTGAATAGGATTTAGTAGATTCTGTAAATTCTGTAAATCTAGATTTATGAAATTTTGAAGGGTTAAGTCCTGAAAATTATTTGGTATGTTCATAAGTAAATCTAAAAAAATTATTTGATAATTTTAATATGATTTACTAAATCCCTTTCTTTCCACATGCTTCAGCTTTTCTGAATCGCGTAAATCCGGCTTCCTACGAGATTTGATAAATCCCGAATTTAAGGCAAAACGGGATTTAAGAAATAGTAGGGTTTAAGCGATCGTTTTTGGCGTCTGGCAGGTTTTAATGTAAATCCTGAATAAATTCTGCTTAAAAGTGGCTGCCAAACAACTCCTAAATCCGGGAAACCCTGATTCTTCCACAAACAAAGATTTAGCTTAAATTCAGGTTAAATCCATGTCACAATTGAATTTATTAAATCTAAATTTGCATCGTAAAAATGACAGAACACAAGAAGAGACAGTGGAGTGTGAGAAAACTAGATTAAGTGGAGTCGTTGGACTTATTTATTTTTCTCTAGTATTTGATTTAAGTTAAATTCATAATTAAATCCGAGAAATAGTATGCTAAGATAAATTTGGGAACCTGTCAGTGTCTTGGGTATTGTTTTAGTTTAACTATGAGTTCAAGTATTGGCTAAAATACCGGTTCAACTCGCACTTCCCCAAAATCATGAAAACCATAACTGAACAAAACTATAAAATTTCTAATGTAATAATGGCATTGCATTTCCTCTGCGTATATTGCAAAGACTTTTTTTCCCTTGTTGAAAATAAACATCAATGCAGTGCCTACACTTCACGATAGAGTTTTGAGACAGGTCAAATATTTAATAGCACATTTCATCATACAATGACATAACCAATTCGACAAAGTTAACATGAACAAAAGAAAGGAATAATTTTGCCATATGATACATCATACAAACATGATTTAGAAATGAAAACTATTATACATTCTAATTCAGGGGAAAACAAAAAAAGCTTATATATCAAAGAAGAAAAGAAAGAAAAGACTCGGGCCAATAAATCGGCTCATGAAAGAAATCCTATTTTCATTTTTACGCAAAGTTACAGAAATGTTTGAAGGCGAACACCATAATTCTTCTCATGTTGCCCTTCCAACAACGCATCATCTCCTCTGGAAATTCAAAGTCTTTATCGCAAATGCAAAAACAAAAGCAAAGAGAAGTGGGAACCCAATTTCTGCCGCGACAACGGCCCCCAAGAAGTCGTGCTTATAGCCAAAGTGATCCTTCAGATAGTCCTTCACTGACATATGATTATCTGTCATAATCTCTTCTACATCACCAAACTGTGAAGCAAGTAGGCCATATATGGTCCAAGCGACTGGACATGCCCAGAAGTACCATCTCCACCAAATTGGTATTCTCTGAAATTCATAAGAGGGCATTGATAAGTCCGCTAGTTTTGGCTATAGAAAGGAGAGAAATAGCTTGCAGGAAAAGAGTGATTTTGAGGACTTACAGGGCGCGGAATAACGAATCCTGCGAAGAGATTCCATATGGCATAAAATGCAGAAGAAACTACTGCTGCAATGTCTGAGTTAGGAGTCAACGACACCGCCATCATTCCGTAGAACGTGAAGTACAGGAAAGTGCAGAACGTGAAGAATAGATACCAAAAGAATTTGGCTGCTGTCCAGTCAAAATTTATCATGCTGTACACTATAACACCATACACTATTGCCTGGAACAATGTATATGGAACCTCAATAGCAACCTGATACAAAGAGAGAAGATTAGAATATACTGAAAGAGAACAAATTTGGAGTCTGAACCTAAGACAATTTGTAACTTGATATTACCTGAGCAAATGCGTATGGTAGTGGAGAATACATTCCGGCAGCCTTTTCTCTGTAGAATACCGTCCGTTCAATATCCACCACTGGCTGTACAGTTTGTGAATTCTGGACTCCAATGAACATAACAGCGCAGTACATGGAACCCATCGCGTTAAAGAGGTCACCTTGCGTTTTCCTGCAAAACCACAAAATCCATTTATGATTTTACTGCTCTAATTAGTTTAGGCTATGATGATACAATCAAATCCATACGTTTTTGAGCCGAGCCTCCAGAAGATGGTACCGAATATAAGGGCTATAATTGTAGTGAAGAACATGCGTATGGCACCATATGATGGATTGCGCCAGTATGATTTGTATTGTTTCCAAAAGCAAGCAAGGCATTGAGAGAAGAAAGGCTGTGAAAATTTTGTGGGGAAGAAGAGCTCTTTTGATCCAGGGGCAGGGATGCTTAGCTCGCTAATCAAGGCTTTATTCCTCCTGCAAAGATCATTAGCATTATGATTCAGTTTTCAAAGGTGGTGATATTTGGAAAGAAAGCAAAACGGTAAAGAAACATACCTATAGAGATCAGAATTCTTGTATATCTCAGCAAAGTTAGCCCCCAAGATTTCTTCTTGAGCCAAGTTTGTCACCTCCAGCATCCATGTTGCAGGATTGTAACCATCCTTTATTTTGCTTACTCCGTTTACTGACTGCAGAAATAAATCAAATTCTGTCAATTCCAAGGGATTCAAAAGATTGCAAAAAAAAAAAGGGGAGAGCATTAAATAAGGTTTACCAATTACCTCAAAGTATCTAATGAGTTCAGCTGAATTACGGCCTAGTGGACCTACATATATCTCCTCTCCTCCACGTTTCATTAGAAACAGCTGAAATATTCAAAAAATGGTGTCAATTCATGGGATTAATTCAATAATATTTTCACACTGTCAAAAAAGAAGCGCATTATATTTTTGGTAAGCCTCACCTCGTCAAATGCTTCAAAAATATCAATGCTAGGTTGATGAATAGTGCAGACCACAGTTCTTCCTGTGTCCACAGTGTTCCTAACAGTTCTCATCACAATCGCCGCTGCACGGGCATCTAATCCAGATGTTGGTTCATCCATGAATATTATAGAAGGATTAGCAACAAGCTCAACAGCAATCGTCAGTCGCTTGCGTTGCTCCGTCGACAACCCATTAACACCAGGCAATCCAACCAACGCACTCCGCAATGTTGTCAGCTCAACGAGTTCCATAACCTCCTCGACAAACATCTACAACGTAATTATCATAGTTTAGGGTTTACATGTATGTGGCTAAAAGATGTGAAAACTTCAACACAGTTTTTAAGCATGGTTTAGGGTTTACATGCTTACCTTTCTTGCATTAGCATCTACTTCAGTCGGCAACCGCAGCCACGCGGAGTAGATAAGAGATTCATAGACAGTGACGTGAGGGGAGTGGATGTCATTTTGCTCACAATACCCTGATATTCGAGCAAAAGTGTCCTGATTCTTTATGTAGCCTGAAATTTTGATGTCTCCATCTATATACCCCCCAGTTTTTCTCCCGGCAAGCACATCCATTAGAGTTGTCTTACCAGCTCCACTGACCCCCATAAGTGCAGTGAGAACTCCGGGCCTGAAAGCCCCACTGACACCTTTGAGGAGCACCAAGCGATCATCTTGAACGCCTTGCGATCTCATTTCCTACAAGTTTGGAAACTGTTAGCTTTTTTGATCATCTGACTGCTTCTAAAACCCTAAACCCTAAAACTGAGGCTTACCGCTGGCATGTCCACTGAATACTTTACATTGTCAAAAGTTAAAGCAAGCGGATCAAATGGAAGAACCATTCCACGCTTTCTGTTAGGATCATCCTCTGGATTGATTTCTGTCTGTCTATGACTCCGATCTTCTCGACCTGTAGTTGAATGAATGTAATTAATCGCATGTCACCTGTTACAAACTACTCTAATTTGATGATGTTCAGCTTACCTCGAGACCCACGGGAACTTCTTCCTCTAGATGAGAGTTCGACAACCGCTCCTGTTCTGTTAGACTCTTTTTCATTCAGAGTGTCCTCAGATATGATGGCCTGACCTTTCCCTAATGCTGAATGGTGGAAGAATAATTCAATACGCAGTGCTTATGAAAAAAGTTCTCAATAACTTCTGTAATGTGCGGTTTGTGTATAGAACTGAGAATACTCACGATCCAGGAAGGTAAGAGCAGTAGTGTATACAACGTTGAAGACCAGAACATAGCCAATCAAAGCTCCCACACCAATCCAAACCCATTCTGATTCAGCAAATAAGCCTCTGGATTCAATAACTTGGACTCCTAATGTTTTGTTGCTGGTCAAATTAGGAATCTGTGCATTAGAAACCAAATGCAGTTAGATGACATCAAAGAAAGACAAACTTTATGACATGTGTATGGAGAAATCCATGCATGCACTTACAAATTTCCATTTGTGCCCAAGAAATTCATTCACTGATAGGGCGTTCTGCGCATACATCAGGGGTGATGACCAGTAACCCCAGATCCAAAAATCCTTGATGCTTTCTGCAAAAGAGAGAATTGTTCAAGCCTGATCAAAAGCTTACAAACAGGCTACTTATGGGAGAATCTTTAATAAAACAAAAAATTTGGTCTTTATCTACAAGCTTATGTTTGTCTGAGCAAAAATCATACTTCTAGAAATGATAAATCCACCAAGAACAATCACCACCAGCTGGGCAAAGGAACCAAAAGAGTTTGCAACTGTCATATCTCTGCCAAGTGCCGCCACAACTCGGAAAAGCCCAGAAGCCACCTGACTAAGCAAAGAGAATAGCAGAAACTGCCTAAAGAACCTGGAAAAAGAGTAGTGTTTTATAGTTAACTTTGATTCAAAAACTCATTAAATGACATATATAATTGCAGCTACTCTTAAACTACCCTGGCTCACCTTTGCACATTTGGATCAAAACCAATCACATAGTAAGTCAAGCCAGTATACAGTGCACATTCCAGAAAAGAAATTGGAATCTTAAGAATCCATGTAGGCAAAGCATAAGCCCATGCTGGGAAGAATAAGAGATCTCTTTGCTTGTAAAAAACAGGAAGCTTTGCAATGCTCATGGCTAGTTCCGCAAACCCATTGAACAGATGAGTCATAATACCAATAAAAATAGCACCCATATAGATTGTTCCATCGTCAATATTACGATGGTGCATCTTGGTCCGCAGGAACACAGTCATCGCTATTGCTGATATCACAGTAATCTGGTTTGATGGGGAAAGAAAATTTTAGGACGTTATTTATATGAAGAAAGCCTCATGAACATTGGAATGAATTCACCGGGTATTTATTTGATGAAGTGGCACTAACCTGGAACAATTTAAAGATGTAAACAAATGAGTTCCTCTTCATCAACAAAAACTCTCTCTCCAAGCAAGCCTTCAACAAACCCTTACTGTTCACTCCATATGTTGTTGTTGTCAGAGCAGCAGGGTGGTTCTTAGTCTTGTCGAATGGGGTGTGAAGTTCCTGCTCCACTCTTCTTCCCACATGGAAGGAAAGAAAAGCATTGGAGAACTCATTAACAGAGATGAATCTGTATGGTTCCAAGCGAGCCCAGTACTGTCTTTGATCCTTTTTAGATGTTACCTATCGAGGCAACAAGAATTATTTTAGTTTCTGCAACGATTTTCTCTTCTTTGCTAAGAAATTTTTAATGATGTTTATGTAACCAATTTATATGATTACCTCTTGCAGGAAATCAGCAACACCCTTTCTTTCAGGACATCTGAAGCCCATAGATTCGAAGAACTCGAGCACATTTTCTCGGGGGCCTTGATAGACTATTTGGCCTTCGGAGATTAGAAGAATGTCGTCGAAGAGGTCATATGTCTCAGGAGCTGGTTGAAGCAATGCTATGAGGGCAGTGCCACCAAGGATGTGAATGGATTGCCTCAGTGAATTCACTATAGAGTAGGTAGTTGAGCTATCCAAACCAGTGGAGATCTCATCCATAAATAGTGCTTTCGCTGGCCCAACAAGCATCTCACCTGTTTCAGAAAAATCATAAAATTAATAAATGTCACATAGAATTTCACACTTGATGATGAATATTTTTGGGTTCTCAATAGATTTAATTCTTCACCTGTTGTTACTCTTTTCTTCTGCCCTCCTGATATTCCCCGTATCATTTGATCCCCTACCAAAGTATCAGCACAGATATCCAATCCTAATATCTGCATAATGAAAGAATTGAGGAGGTTTGTTTAGGGTTGTAAAATATACAAGTGAAAAGAGAATCTAAAATCACATTTCATTGTACGGCAATACCCTACAATGATTATTAAGCAACTCTTAAAGTTGAGTGCTATGAGTGCTATGAAGTAACTTGGTTTTATGCTTTCTATAACTCCTAAAATTACAATTTATCTATATTTTAGTTTGCACAATTTTATTGTAGGCCATACCTTCAAGATATAGTTTGTGATAACAATTTCCTGACCTTCCAGTGTAGTAGCCTGCAAGATTACCCAAACTTGGTAAATATTGTCCTTTATTTTTCCAATTGATTATTACACTAAACCCTAAGAATATATGCCTATATGATCATTATTTCCAATAGAAATCAGTAAAATTTATGCAACATTTATAATTAATTCTCAATTGTGATTTACCTTCATATACATATCAATATCAGGATCTGGCTTAATATTTGCCGCCTTCTCCCTTCTTGAAAGCTCTGTCAGCATTTCTGGAGTTCATAGCAGAAATGTTAGGCAATGGAACAGTGAAGTAGACCCAATGAGTTGCGCATCTTTGGAAGTAAATTTAGTTGAACATACCATATCTGGTTCCGACACCTTGACATTTTGCAGAGAAAGCTAAGGTTTCTCTCACCGTCAATTCTCCAATGTGTAGATCATGTTGACTGATATAAGCTGAGGTTCTTTGGGGCACAAACTCATCCAAACCGTGGCCATTGTAAGACACACTACCAGAGACCTGTATTTTCCATTACATAACCAATTTAAGATGGAAACTCACACTACATGAGAGACAAATGAGTATGAAATTTAAGGTTGTAAACGATCGAGTCGAGCTCGAGTCACCCTTGGCTTTTAGCTTAAGCTTGATTAATTAATCAAGTTTGAGCTTAATTCTATGAGTTCAAGCCCCCTCACCAGCTTGCTTGTTTGTTATGAAAAAGAGAAAACAATACTAATTCAAGCTAGTGTTATGATAAAATGATAAATAACATGAGTAATTATGAGATAAATAATAACAAATCATAAGATATAAAATATAAAATATCATTTTTGAAATATTTTTAAGAATTTATTGGAAAGTCTTGAATTTTAACAAATTTTAAGTATATTTTATATTAATATTTTGTTAAACCAGTCGGCTCATGAGCTAAAGAGTCTCAAGTCATAGCTGATTTGAGTTTCAAGCTCAGTTCAAGAGCCACTTAAAAAGCCAAACCCGAGCCCACTGACGAGTTAGATTGGCTCAGTTATACCGTAATATGACTTTTACTTATCGAGCCGAACCCCAACCCACATATTTCATTTTCAACATGTAATGTTGTGCGGGAATGCACAACACATTAGTTGCAAACAAAGTGAAAATCCCAAGGAGCCGGGTCGATTGCTCCCGAAAACTAGTAATTTAGAAAGAAAGAAAGGTCACCGACCTTCAGGTCCTTGCTAAGCTTTCCTGCTAGAGCCAGAAGCAATGTGGTTTTTCCTGAAGAAGGGGGGCCTAAAAGCAAGGTCATTCTGAAAAAGAAGCATCAGCTTAGTTAGGACAATAGTAGGCTGAAAGCTGAAATAACATAATAGATTATATGTAATATTAAATTACAGGCCAATCTTAGGCTCTTGGCGTACCTATTTGGTTTAATGAATCCACTGATACCATGAAGGATTGTAAGCGGTCTCTTCCTACTTGGCAGTATATGCAAGGTGTTCAGTAGTGCCTGCAGGGATGACAATTCATCAAACATTAAAACAAAGTTTTTTTTTATTATATTGTTGTCTTCTCATGAATTTGTTCATTCATGGAAGCAAAAACTTCATGATATCATGAGACAATATGTTATTAAAAAAAGGTACCTCAATCCTATTGGTGAAGAAATTCAGAACATTGGGAACTCCCCTGTTCCCCACATAAGCATCTGCATGGATTTCCAAGTTCTCAAACCTAACCTCAATGGTTGGATTCTCGATCCCAACTCTGTTGAAATAACACAAACAAAACCAAATTATACCAACAACCCAGTTCAAAATCTTCCATCTTTCTCGAAAACAAGTGAAAAACTTGATCACAAGTGCAATACCTATCCAATCTATTCTTGAGCTTTTTCAGAAACTTCTCGTTATCTTCATCTGCGATTCTGACCAGTCTCTCCATCAGCATGTTCCTCTCTGCCAAACCAAGCTCCGAAATATCCACTTCCCTACCCCCCCTTGATCCGGCCAGAATTCCCTTACGGATTCGGTCATAAGTAGGAAGCTTTTCCAGCGCCGCCCACTTGAGCGCCTCCTCATCATCCTCCTCCCTCGAAGATCTAGAGAACACATCCCTGCTACTGCCGCCCCGCCATGCCGAGCCGGTTCGCCGCAGACTCGCCGCCAAGATGCCTCCCGGACCTTCCATTAGACAGAACAATCAACAGAACCTGAAACTCTTCAAGCTGCTTTCTTTCGGTTGGATTCACAGTCACCGGTAGCCGCAAAAGGGGCCTCCCGAGTGCTGGAGAAGTTTTGAGATTTTTGGTGAAGCAGGAAGAGGAAGAAGAAGAAGAAGATATGAATTGGATTCTTCTCTGTATTTCGAGTTCGAGTTGGCTGGCATGTTTATAAAGCGGCCTTGGTGCAGTCAGCAGCGGTTCCGGGTAAGTTTAGGAGCCTTGAAAGTTGTAGAAAATCTAGAAGGCCTGACTCTGGAATCGGATGGATGTGGGCTGTCAACATCAAGTATATTTTCCTAACAGTTTACATGGCATAAATTCATTAAATAAATGTCATTTTTCTGGAAGCCGAGCAGAGGAAGGATGACAGGACGATATAGTATTTTGCAGAATTTTCCTTTTTATTTACGTACATATTACATAAATTTTATATATTTAATATTTATTTATATTAAGTTTAAATATTTTAATTATATTCAAATTTGACTGCTATAAAAATAGCTTATAATTCTCCCATATTAAATCATATCTTTTTATTTTAATTTATTTTTTGATGAGTTTAGTCATAGCAATTTAATATTTAATAAATAAATGTTAATTAATATATTATATTATCCGTAATTATTTTATCATGATCCATTACTTTTTAAATTCCAGTTTTTCAAATATTTTGACTGTTTAGTTTCCCATATTAATGGACGAACAAATTTTAATTAATGAACAAAAATTGAGAATATTGTTGAGGTGAGGAGCCTTGAAGAGCATCCATAGCTGCAAGGAAGAAGGCCAAACATAGGGGTACTTAGGGCACAACACACTCTTGCGTGAGGGACACCCGCACTGAGGTCTGCAATGCCCTTGTGCAACTATTTTGGCGCCTCTGCACCCGGTTACATAGAGCACGATATTCCCGCGCCAATGAGTGGTGCAAGCGCGATAGGTGCAGTTGGCTCTTCGATTCGGTTTAAGGCCTCCATTCGAGTAATGAAGAAATCTCTCTCGTGCGTGTGTTGTCTCGACAGATTTCTCTTGAAGAAGAAAATGGTAGAGGAAGAGGATTTCATTGTGCATGTTCTCTTGTGGGATCGAGTTGAAGGTTTGGAGCGAAGTCCTGTAAGTTTCATTCACTGGAAAGAGGAGATCTGAGTCAGTATTATGTATATTTCTGAATTTCATAATGAAATTTTTTTGATAGTGTGACTTTATAGTATTTTTCTCATTCTTTGGTTTTTCCAAGTTAAATCCCGTTGCGTATTTTTGGATTGTTCTTTGTTGTGCATCCGTTCGAATATTGTGTTTTGGTTTTATTGAATCAATGTAATCTTATTTCGGGGTGTGATTTTGATTTCTAAATTGGATCAAAGCCCTAGTAAAATTATAAAAGGTTTCCATCCCAATAAAGTGATATCAGAGTGAAATGTTTAATTATAGTGAGAGCAAAGACCAACAAAAGCGAGGTACATAGTAGAGGAGTTTATTGAGACGAACTTTGCATTCTGAAGAATACAAATGAAGGTTTTATTATATTAGAAACAATTATATTTGTTACTGCATGGTATCATCGAGAAATCTAAGTATATAACTATAGAGGAAAGGGAGGTGTTGGATCGAATAGCCATAGGTTCGATATGTCTGTTGTATTTGTTATAGTAATTGAGAAAACCACGATGAATCTATGGTAGAATTGACAAAAATGTACAAAATATCTTTTGTTTCAAATAAAATTTTTCTGATGAAGTTATTATTCAATATGAAGATGTTGAAAAACAGCTTGTGATAGAACATCTGAATAATTTCAACACTACAATGATTGAGTCATTTTTTATAGAATCAAGTTTGATCATAAGTTAGAGCACATAATATTTTTCTTAGATTTGTCAGAAAAATCTCAACTGTTTGCTTCAATTAAAAAAATTTATGTGTTTTCATTATTGAATTATAAAATAAATAATTAAAAAAATTCATTTATAAGATATTCTTACAATTAGTAATAGAATCAAATTCATTCTTTTGATCCTTTCACATAAAAATTATTAAGCAAACAATAATTAAAAATTATAATTTATTTAATTTCATTAACACGAGCAACACAGCACACGTGAAATTACATTAGTATATACATAAAAATAAATTTTGTCTGTATTTTTATGTTATTTTAAATACATATTTATTTAGTTATTATTTAGCATTTTTTTTATTTTAAAAAATAAGCTAATTTATTTTTAAAATACTCAATATATTATTTAAATATTTTCAGTATTTATAAAATAATTACTACCATCAAATATATTTCATTTCAGTCCAAATACTAAACAATAATAAAATAATAATTAAAAAAAGATCCAAAATTTCTCGCATATTTTATTTTAATCAATTAATATTATAATAAATTTAATATAACAATTAATATTATAATATATTTAATATAATTTAAGATCTTAAATACTATACAATTTGATATTAAAATTTAAATAGAAAATATTTTCAATTAATATTATAATAAATTTAATATAATTTAAGATCTTAAATATTATACAAATAGATATTAAAATTTAAATAGAAAATATTTAAATAAATAAATTTCTAATGTGATTTCTATGCAATTTTCTTATTCCCAGTAAAGACGGGAGCCTCTCTTGACGTTCAACATTCAAGAATACAGGGGAGATGGCCCACTTCTTATCCTCAAAAACTACATCATGGACCAGACGTTTGACCACACGCCGCCTCTGACTGGTAGATTTGGCATTTCTAAACGTGGGCTTCTGATCGGAAATATCTTTTCTTAGCCATGCATTTAAATATCTAACACCTACAATTTAATATTTATTCGTATAACACTTTGGCACTAACGATCTTTTAATGCAATGCCAAAAATTAAGTGACATATTCGTAATTATAAAAAGTGAAGTGTTAGATATGTAATTGTATAATATTTTTTTT